AATTTAACATATATTTAAAAGACGCAGTATTTCCGTAATATTTTCAAAAAATAAGTTGAAAAAATTTACTTTTGTGAAAATGTTGCTTTTTTGATTCCACCTCTGTGGGCAGGTAAATAATCAGATTTCCAAAAAATTTATATCAAATGAAAGAGAAACACCTAAAGTTTAAGTTAAAAATAAATTATTTTGATTTATTTATTTTTCAAAATGTTATGGTAGTTACAATGGTGATAGAATAAAAAAAAAACACATTATAGTAAAATTAATATCTTCTCATCGAAGCTAATAAATATTTGAATCTAGAATTTTTTTTAATTATTGTTGTTTAAACAAAATTTGTATTTTTAGTTTTCAAATCAAATTAAATGATATGCATTTATTTAAAAAACATTCAAATTATTTAAAAAGTAATCATCTAACCATCACCAAATATTCTTCTTATGTAGTTAATATGGTGCAAAAATTTGAAAACTAATAACGAAGGCCTTGATTTTTCAATTTATCACTTCAATTTATTTATGTTGTTGGTGAGTAATAGGTTAACGAAATTAATAGTCAATGGTTTGTCGCTGTTAATGATGAGTTAGGATGGCTTTAACTTGTCAAGGCCTTGGTTATAATTGTTAAAACGTTATGAAGATGGATTCAAGCCCTGTTATTAATTATATTTAAGCTAACATTGATTATAATCAAACATGCAATGTACACTCGTGTTTTTGTAATAGGTTAAATATTGGACAACGATCAATGAACCTAGGATGATATCTGAGGGTTATGGAGGAAGATATCCACATGCTCCTCAATTAGGTGAAAAATACAGTGGTATAGGAGACTACATGGTTATTCATAATCTGATACTAGCTCATGCTAAGGTGTATAGATTGTATGAAAAATATTATAAATCAGAACAAGATGGTAAGAAACTTTTAGTTTCGAGTTTATTAGAGGAACGATAAGGTTAAATTAGTATGTAGGAAGCAGCATTTATTAAGTACTTATACTTTGTTATGAAAAATTAAATCCCATTCGAACTGATTAGTTTTCATATCAATTTTATGAAAATTGATGACAGCACTAACATGACCTTACCTTTTAAGTGAGTCAACTCAGTTTGGAGTTAACTCTCTTCTCTGATTAAGTCCTAATCTTCAATTCCAAACTATAGTTAAGACATTTCTTTGTTTAAGGATGCTATTATAGTCCATAATAGTTTTAAAAAGTGTATAATATACAGTATAGAAATAATGTGTAATTAATAAGTAAAAATTCTTTTAAGAACAAGTTAAAAATCTACTGATGTATTTTCTTGTAAATTTAAAATTAAACTGAATTATTGGTTAATAAATAATTGATATGGAATAGATTAACTAGAATTATAAATTTTTTTCAGACACCCTGAAGACAAACTTCATGGAATGATGATTAAAATTAACTATGTAATGTAAACGATAATAATTGTACACGGTTTTAAAAGCTCCTTAATACTAAATAGGGATTGCCTGTTAATATGGGTGGTGCTGTTTATTTTGTAGCAAAAACAAACGACGGATAAACGAAAATAAGAGGGGTTTAGAAAATAGTTACACCTGTTTATGTATGTACACAATACGAATATATAGTTCACTTCTACAAATTTAACTCTTAAAAAATAAAGGGAAAAGGTGGGCTAACTTATATACTAAACATTATTAATCTTATTATACGATACAATAACAAAATGAAAATAAATTAATAACTTACCTGATGACTGCTTGAGAAGATCGGAGAGAGTGGCAAAGTAACTTATAATGAACGGAAAATAATAATGAACAAAAAAAAAAAAAATGACTGTACAGCTGCCGATTACTAGAGGCGCTTTGCGTGTGTACTGTGTACGTACAAAACAAACTATAACGCTCGTTGAGCAAGGGACGATAGCCGAACGTTGCGTAAAACGTTCGAACCGGTTATACACAAGCGCCTCAAGATGCGTGAGGATGGGTATCAACTATTGCTATACTCTACACAACAAAACTTTCATAAACAAAAAGTATTATTATACATCTGTATAACTTTAGAACAAATAAAGACGATCATTGGCTCCTTAAAAGTAGACCATTCAAAATTCATTAAACATATAAATCTCTTCTCAAATAAGAACCAAAACAATTTTATTTTGGTATTTGTATTGATAACAACAATTTTTTTTACTTTAGGTAAAATTTGCATTTGCTTAGACACATTATGGGGATTTCCAAATAATACAAATAGCGAAGAAGATAAAAAATCAGCTAAACTATTATTAGATTCTTATGTAATTATAAAGAATCAAGCTTGTTGAACTTAATATTTTATCTAACTTGATATTAATATATATGGTTTTTTTATAAGGTTGGACTGTTTGTTGAACCTTTGGCAACTGGCGAGATTCCAAAAACGTATATAGAATCAATTAAAGATACGAATAAAAAGAAAGGAATCAATGTTTGGCGAATTATTCAGTATACTGAAGAAGAAAAAGAACAAATAATTGGTGAATATATTTTTAATTTTTATTAATAGAATATATTTGTGTCTTAATTGTTAAATTTAATGTTGGTTTGTTGTTTCATAAGCAAAGGCATATTTCACAACCCCAACTGTGCTATGGATCTACTCTTTAGCACTGTTTTGTAAGGGCTAAGGGGAAATAACTGATTTGCATGACATGTATCATCGTGATCCTAAAATCAATGATATTTGATTATAGCTAGGGTTGTTAAATATCATACACTTAAAAAAAACCTGTTTTAAATATAAGTCAATTATTAAAAATTAATAAACATTTTAATAATTTATCGAGGGTTTTAAAAGTAATTTGAAATTTTAATCATTTTAATCATTTTAATTTTGTTTTTTTTTAATCTTCTTATTTGTTAATGAAAATTTGTCCATTTTTTGTATACTATTTGAATAATTTTTTTAACTAATGTAATTTAAAAAATGGTAGCACAGTGGGATCGAGGCACTGAGTGGACGAGGCATAGATAAGACAAGTATAGATGATATCTGACAGTGATTAAAATCACTATCATAAGAAACGCTTCGATTCAAATCTGTAGATAGTGTTTCATTTAGAGAAATTGGTGGATTATTCTAAAAGCAACATCAACTCTTATTTCTTTGATTGTATCCTAATTAGTAGTTCTTTGATTTTAAAATATAATATATGGATAAGTATTAATTATAGTTATTAAATTTAGTATGAAATTGTGAGGCCAGCTATGATGTATGGTTCATAGTGTTGGGCGGTTGATAAGAAAGTAGAGCAGAGAATAAGTGTTCCAGAGATGAGAATGCTTAGTTGGATGAGTGGAGTGACTAGAGAAGATAAAATAAGGAACAAGTATATAAGAATGAGTATAGGTGTAGTGTCAATTGTGGATAAGATGAGAGAAAATAGACTTAGATGATTTAGTATTGTTATGAGGAGAGAGAAATCGGAAGCTCGTAGAATAGTTATAGAAATGAATGTTGAAGGAAGAAGCGGTAGAGGAAGACAAAAAAGAGATGGAAGGATGTTATTGAATGCGATTTGAGGACAGCTGATGTGAGCGTAGAAGATATGGGGGGAGATCGTGTCAAGTGAAAGTTTAGAATAACGGTAGGTGATCCCAAGTAGTTGGGATTAAGGCAAGGAAAAGGAAGAAGATTACCAGAAATCCCGGTGGTATTTGAGATAATATGATTGTTGTTTGAAAATGTACAATTTAGNGATAATATGATTGTTGTTTGGGAATGTACAATTTAACGTTAAGTTGGTTTGAAACTATATAGTGTCAAATCAATTTCCTACTCTATCGGTTGTATATTAATATACACTACACTTTAATGATACAATAAATAAATAAACTCATGACATGATAAAAAGGAAGCGTAAAATGAAAAAAATGGAAAATAAATTTTAGTACTCATATTAAATGTAATGTAACTCGAAAAATATTTGTTTAAATGAAAAAGTATACGATAATTTTTTTGTTTAGAATTGTCTTTTAAACAACTTTTGTACGAAACTTTTTTTTGTAAGTTAAATATTTTTTGAGAAAATTAAAAAAGCTCATATATTTTAATTTTGCGAGGCTGTAAAAAAAAAAGCTCAATTCCAATTAATGAGGACTATTATTATGTCATTATACATATCTTAATTCAACTTTAAAAAAAAAAATTTGGTTGGGAATTATTTCTGCCATTTTTCCTTTGTTGACTGACCTAGATGTCAATTTTAAACTTGTAATTGAGCTAAAAGTTATGGTAATATATTCAATTTTTTTACTATAAACTTTCACAAATCTTTATCAAAAACTTTTCATCAACTTTAAAGAACCAAAAAAATAGGTTAAACAGGAAAATTTGGACTGATTATTTTTAACATATTAAAAATCAGATCAATAATAATTTGTAAACAAATTTTTTTTTCTTTTAATTATTATTTTATATGTAATTAGTAATAATATTAAAAATTAGAAGTGATAGAAAAATTCTAATTGCAGATTTGAAAACAACGCGAAAAGTTGATTTAGAAAAGGATATTTTTGCTTCTGATGAAAGTTCCTTGTAGCACAGTGCATTTTTTTATAGTAACAAACAGTTTTTATTGAAAATTATTATATCAAGCCCTTTAAATTTTTAAACATGTAAAAGTAAAGCAAAATATAACTTCTTTATTATTTTTATAATTTCTCCGTTTAAATTACAATATTAAATTAATGAATATCAATTTCATACTAAATTTAAAAACTATAATTAGCATTTATTCATATATTACATTTTAAAATCAAAGAACTACTAATCAGGATATAATTAAAGAAATAAGATTTAATGTTGCTTTTGAAATAATCCACCAATTTCCTACTTTAAAAAAAAAAAAATTTGGTTGGGAATATTTTCTGCTATTCGCCAAAATTACTCCTTCGTTAACTAGAATGAATCATTAAATAGCAAATTTTATGAGAATTAAAACAATGTTATTTTTAAGATTAATNCACAATTTCATACTAAATTTAAAAACTATAATTAGTATTTATTCATATATTACATTTTAAAATCAAAGAACTACTAATCAGGATATAATTAAAGAAATAAGAGTTAATGTTGCTTTTGAAATAATACACCAATTTCCTACTTTAAAAAAAAAAAAAATTTGGTTGGGAATATTTTCTGCTATTCGCCAAAATTACTCCTTCGTTAACTAGAATGAATCATTAAATAGCAAATTTTATGAGAATTAAAACAATGTTATTTTTAAGATTAATATGCAGTCAAGACATTTTATAATTACTATTTACAGTATATTTATCAGAAAAACTCATTATTTTTTTGCATTTTTATCGTATTAGAGCACTTAAATAGAAATCATAGTAATCATTTCTAAGTAATTTTTAGTATTTAAAAAGATTCTACAATTGAAATATCCAGAACTGAATTAATTTTAATGATTTACTTTAACTAAAAAAAAAAAAAAATTATTATTTTGAATCCCTCTTGTGGGCAGGTAAAGGGTTAGATTTATAAAAAAAAAACCAAATGATAGATAAAGACATGCATCTATATAAAAAAAAAATTGTACTGATAAGGTCATTTTTGATAAAGTATAACAGTTAACAAAGTTATAAGTTTTATACACTGTACTACAAGGAACTTTCATCAGAAACTAAAATATAATATTCTAAATCAACATTTCGCGATGTTTTCAAATGTCCAATTAGACTATGCCTATCACTTTTAAGTTTTAATATTATTAAAAAATAGTATTTACATATAAAAAAAAATAATTAAGAACGAAAAAAATTGTTTTAAATTAATACTGATTTTGATTATTAATATGTTAAAAATAAGGAAAATGACATATTTAACCTATTTTTTTAATAGTTTAAAGTTGATTGTTGTAAATGTTTAAAATAAAAAAAAAAAATTTATTTTACCATAACTTTTAGCTCAATTGGCAATTTTGACATTGACATCATCAAATAGAAAATTTTATGACAATTAAAAAAATTGTATCATTAAGATCAATGCAAAGAATAATGCAGCCAGAAAGTTTAACTTTCTATGCTATATTAATTTTTTATTTATATAATATTTATGAAAATCTGTACTCCCCTTGTCAGGTATTTTAAAATAAAATAAAATACAAAACCCAGAATTTTAATACAAAAATAACAAATTTTTGAATACAGTAATTATTTTTACCATGAAGACAAATCCAGAGGTCAATTTTTTTTTCAAATTAAAGTATATTACATAAGCTTTATTTTAAGATATATATAAAAGTGTCAGTATTTCCGGAATACTTTCAAAAATAAATTGAAAATGTCCTAGTAACAATACGCATGTTTAAAGTTTTGACCCCCCTTGTTAAAGGGGTATGATTCGATTTACAAAAGAGGGTGCCAGATGAGAGGGGTATATAAATATTTATTATAAAAAAATAATAATATTGATCCATACATTTTTCCAAAAGTTATATAAAATTAAATTAAATAATATAAAATATAAAATCGAGAATTTTTTCACGGAAATCGTACGTCTTTTCCTTAACTTTGATGTGCGTTTTCACCATGAAGACAAGTCCAGAGGTCAAATTTTTATTTTTCAAATTAAATTACATTACATTAGCTTTAAATTAAGGTATATATAAAAAGTTTCAGTCTTTCCGGAACAATTTCAAAAGTTAAGTTGAAAAAGTCAATTTTTTGTAAAAAAGTTACCATTTTGAAACCCTTCCTGTGGGCTGTTAAAGGGTTAAATGTTCATAAAAAGATGTAAAATGATAGATAAATATCTAAGGTATCTATAAAAAAAAAATTATATTGATTGGGTCATTTTTAAAAAAGTTATGGCAATTTTAAGTAAAAAAAATTTAAAAAATATCAAAAATTAGTGATTTTTAAATTTGTAATTTTTTGGGGGATTTCCCCCGTTTACGGGTAACGAGAGATTTTTTTTCAAATTTTGAGGGTAATGTCTTTGACTAGATACGATTTGTGATCTTTTGACATATTGTTCATCAAAATCGGTCCAGCGAGATCTGAGATTGAGCGTTCACAGACACAAAAAAAACACATAATAGTAAAATTAATACCTTCTCAGCTTCGCATCGAAGCTAAAATCGGTAACAGTGGGGTTGTAGCATAGTATGGACGTGGCATAGTTGGGACAAGTATAGATAATATCTGATAGTAATGTTAAATTTTTATAAATTAATGAATTATTTCAAAAGTAAAATTAACTTCTATTTCTTTATATATATATATCCTGATTACANATTATTTCAAAAGTAAAATTAACTTCTATTTCTTTATATATATATATATGCTGATTACAACTTTTATGATATTTAAGTGTAATATATGAATAAATATTTTTAAAATTATTTATTATTAAATATTTAATAAATTTGTTCAACTTCGACGGTCATTTTCACAAAAAAGATAAGTCGTCGGGACAAATTTTTTTTTTTATTTACAGTACGTATCATAAACTTTAATTCAACATATGTTAAGAAACCCAGTATTTTCGTAACATTTTAAAGTTAAGCTGAAAAAATTGACTTTTGTAAGAAAGTTGCTATTTTGAATCTTTCCGTGTGAGCAAGTAAACAGTTAGATTTTCAAAAACTTAATATGAAATGAAAGAGACATACCTAAGATTTCAATAAAAAAAAATTATTTTGATTTATTTATTTTTCAAAGAGTTATGGCAGTTTTAAGTAAAAAAAATTGAAAAAATGTCGAAAATTAGAGATTTTTAAGACTGTAATTGTTTTGAAGATATCCTCCATTTACGGGGAACGAGGGAAATTTTTAAAATTTTAGAAGGTAATGTCTTCTACTAGATATAATTTGTGATCTTCTGAGAATGGTTCGTTGAGAGCTGAGAAAAAGTGGTAACAGACAAAGAAAAAAAACGCATCATAGTAAAATTAATACCTTTTCATCTTCGCTTTGGAGCTAAAAAGTGTAGATTTTGAATACATTGTTTCAAAATTTATTGAAATTATATTTTTTGATTTTATAATATAATTTTAACTATCGTTAATTGGTATTTAGAATAGGACAGTAAAACATATGGTAACATCCAGAATTATTCAAAAAGTAAGGAAATAGGTCAATTGTTACATACAATGAAACAATAGAAACCCGTCTTCTTACTTACTGAACACTTATACCATATAACCTGTACATTTTAAATACTATAAGTCAAAGTAGTATAAATGTATCTTTTTAAAAAATCACTTTTTTAAAGTAACTTGTAAGTAAAAAATTACAATATTAATTTTATTAAATTACATATTTAAAGTAACTATCCTAAACAAAAATAGATTCAATATTCTTATATTGTAAAAATATTTTATTATAAAAATCACAATTAATATGAACAACTGGTATTGATGCACCTAAGTTTTTATGATTCCTTTTTTTATGGAAAGACAGATATTTACAATAATTATGACGGAATCATTTTTATAAGTTTTAAAAATAACTAAAAGTTAATCTTTACACTTTATTTTCAATTCTAAAAAAAAGCATATTTTCATATTTTTTTATATAAATATATTTTTTAAATATTTGGTAATATGCAATATTAGTGTACTTATAATATTTAAAGATAAATGCGTTGAAAATAAAAAATAATACGAATATTACAATAATTGTAACTGAAACTTTTTCTGGACAATATCAGGAAATCTGATGTCTTTTCATAATTCTTAAGTTAAAAAACATTTGAAATCCCTCGTTAGATTATTTTAATAAATACTCATTTTTAATCCGTTTGATTTGTGTAATATCTTTTCACAAAAATATTCGAGAGGTATTACCTTTGGGTTAAATTAATTTCAGGATCACTACGGTTTATTTTGTTTATTATTTATTTTTTACGTAGCGTAGTACAGCGGTTGTAAATAAATTTGTTACTGACACGTTTCAAAAATATGCTACAGTTACTACTAGGGTTCTTCATTGGGTGACTGTACGAGAGTTTTTATTAAACGGTAAAAATACAATGCCTTAAAATATAAATCAGTGAATTGATCACTCTGTATACGAAAACTTATTAACTGTTTGCATAATATTTAATTAACATATTTTTCTATATGGTCTTTTCAGGAAGTTATGATTTCATATCAATAAATTATTATCATTCATTACATGTTACCGCGATGACGGACAAGGATATATTTGATCCGAATAATGATTTAAAAACAATTGATCAAAGGTCAATTACACCTAGTTGGGACGAAAAAGAAGCTTTAGAAGATGTGAGATACAATAATTACTTTTTAAAATGTTTTTTACTAAATTAACAATTTTTTTTTAGACTGTAATGGGATATAGAAATGTATTATATTATTTAAATGATACTTTAGGAAAAATTTCTCACATAAGAGAACCCAAATTTTTCATTTCTGAAAATGGATTGGCTGATGATAGTGAAAACAATAAAAATAAAATTGAATATCATCAGGTAAATATCATAAAACATACCTTTTTTTTTTAAATCGTCTAGTCAAGGGAGGTATTACTTCCCCCGTTGTGGGCATCGTTTATTGATCGTATATATATTTATATATACAATACATAATCAATAATAAATAACTATTAGATATTAATAAAATAAATTATTATGCATAACATGTACAATATAATATTATATATTTATCGTCTTCTTCTATGGGCATTTGGCCGTCAACTTTCTTCTCGCTTCTGCGTAAGCCGGGCATTGACCACCGTCCGGGTAATGCGCCGAACCTCCGGGTTACCCCTCACAAAACACACAGTATAGTGGAGCCGTACAATTGCTTACGCGGTGATCAGCCACACCACATGACAATCAAAGGGATGATCTGTTAGGCCCATTGCATTCTCAAAGTGGCCATACTCATAACACCGGAAGCACCGCTCTATGCGAAACCGGAGTGTCACCCGGCAGCGCACCAGGCCAACAAGCACCCATCTGACTCGGTCTAAATGTAGTCCATAGGTTCGAGAGATTCAAGCGACAGCTATGAGGCTGCTACTGGATCTAGAGACCACTCCGACTACCACTCCGNGGTCTAAATGTAGTCCATAGGTTCGAGAGATTCAAGCGACAGCTATGAGGCTGCTACTGGATCTAGAGACCACTCCGACTACCTCTACGTTCTTCGCTCCCGGCATCCGCCGAAGCGCCTGGCTGACGTCTTCCATTGTGATCTCTTTGGCTTTGAGGGGACAACTTGCCTCACCCTTTGCCTAAGTGAAGGCAGAGGATTGGCTTTGGTTGTCGGCTTTACCTCTTCCTTCATCGGGTAGGGAGCTGCTAGTGACTGCTCCGCGTCTTCTTCTGTGACGCTACAATTGGACGGGGCCAAATCCCCTGTTGTATCGCAACCGATGTGGGGGTTATCGAGCTCACGTTGCTCTCCTCGTCTTCTCCACTTCTTCATCCTTTTCGGTCGTGCGTCTCACAGCCCTGTTTGGACGGATGTATTGATAGTACGCGGCTTCGGCGGTGTAGCCATAGACGCTTTTCCCGTGTGTTTTCATCCGCCATTATATGCCTGCATCTACACTTTGTCTCGTGATACTCAGATGTTTGATACTATTACAACAAGATCTCATATAGTCCACTCACAACTATCAACAACTTCATTTAATCAGTAGAGTTTTGTATTATTTTGTTTTAATTGAGTTTAACTATTTGTTTTATACCGCTTCGTTCACCCAACCCACTTCATCCGTTGACACAATATCGCCCATTGTGTCCTATGGCAATCTTTTGCTTAAAATCAAACTACCTGCGTTGGATGACAATATCACACAATGGCGGTCATTCAGAGATACATTTGATTCTCTTGTTAACAATAACAACACACTAAGTAAAATATAATGTTTTCATTACTTATTCTGGCGTGTGTTTGGTGCAGCACTCACAATTATTCGGTCTTTTCCGTTATCAGCCGCAAATTATGACATTGCTTAGGCTGAACTAACGGAGTGATTTGACAAGCAACCTTTATTTGCTACATCACACTTTGACAAGATATTTCGTTTTGGACGATGAATCAAGAATCTCTCTCTGTCTTAACGGCCTTCGTCAACGATTTCCAAGAGAACGTTGCTGCTAATGAGGCATTCGGTGTCGATGATTTATACGGCTTTCTATTGCTTTACATTCGCTCTAGCATGTTGGAGTGACTCCTCTCTTCTGCTTCAACAATAGTGATTTAAATAGGCTTAAGGTAATTCTAGTGTGGTGTACAACTAGCCATCCTACGTCTCGTACGAAATAAAGTTACTAAGTTTAATAGTATTTTTATAGTATTAAAATTAATTGTTAATATAATTTTTAAGACTTTTTTATTTATAAATTGAAAATATTTTTAGGCGATTCTTACCGAAACAAAAAAATTAATTGATGAAGGTATTAATATTCTTGGGTATAGCGTTTGGTCACTAATGGATTCTTTTGAGTGGGTCAGTCCAAGGTAAGCTAAATTAAGATAAATAAATAAAAAATAAAATATATTTTACTTCCTCTTTTTAAATAGTACTTTGAAGAATTACATTTATTTAAAAAAATTTTAAATAACACTTAGAAATATAAATTTTTTTATTGATGAGAACAATAGCATACCAAAAATTTTTCAATTTAAAATAACTTTAAAATTTTTTTTAATTACAAACTCGGTATTGATTTTTTACTAGTTATATTACCATATTAACGAAAAATAGGTTAATTTGTTGTTAAAAAATAAAAATAAATTGAATTTACATAAAATCTAAATATCTTAGTTAAGCTAAAAAGTTTAACTTAACTTTAATTTATTAATTCGTTCATTTCCAGTCTTGACAACAGTTCATTGTTAAATTTGAATTATTAAAATATACTTATGGTTTATTTTTTTAGTACAAGTAAGTTTGGAATGTACAAAGTTGATTTCAAAGATCCTCGTCGACCTCGCACAAAAAAACCATGTGTAAAGTATTTCCAATACGTTTTCCAAAATAAGGCTTTACCAGATAATTATCTGATTGCTTAAATACTTAGATTGTGTTTGTTCATTTTTTTAATGTAATTTAAAATTATTTTTGTTTCAATTTGGATAATAAATATTGTAAATCTAATAATTATAGTAATTCGTATAAAAAAAATATTAGTAGTACTACTTTGTATACATATTTTAGTTAATATATTATATTTTTTTTCTTAATATTTATTGTAAAATGTTAATTTAAATTACTATCTTTTTCCGTAATATCAAACTATATATAGTATATACTGATATACTACATATATAACTCGTAGTTTGATTTTCTATGAGACGCTTACAATGCAAGTGGTATATATAAAATTTAAAAATATTGATTTAAGTGAGCATTTGAACGATCAATTAAAAATTCTATGTAGAAAGAAAACAGATTAATATCATGAAAATATGAAATGTGGATAATCTTTTACATGGTATTATATAGAAATAAAAACTTTGGTTTCTCAAAATTAAAATGTCACTTATAACTTTTGCGCGTTATAGTGTAATATAATAAAATTATAATATAACAAGTCTTAATAGTACACAGGTACCAATCAGTTTGGATTGCAGTTTATTCATATATTTCCTATTTATGTTACTTTACAAAATATAAAAAAAACATATTATAGTATTCTTTTTTTTTGTGTATAATTATTGAAAATTATCCTCATACTTTTGTACATTTGTTTTTTAGTCAATCGGTTAAAACGAACAAGATATTAAGTAATTTTTATTCCTTAAAATTTATCTCTTATTTTTGTAAAAAATAACATGAACACGCATAAATTTTGATGACATACATTTATATAAATATCAGAATGTAATATTGCACACTAGATAGCGCTCTAAACCTTTTTAGTTCAACTAACTGTTGAGAAAGCCATATTTTTTTTTTAGTTAATCACACAGAAAGTTGTATGTAATCTTTATGGTAAACCAATAATTCAGCTTAAACCTATTACTTTTTTCTAATACTTTAATCCCAATTAAAAAAGTGATTGTAAATATTTTACAATATATCCCTCTTTCAGCTAATTTTTCTACCCTTATTTTAAATCAAATATTGCGAGTGATTATAATGGCCATAATCTTGCATGCATCTTGCCATCTTCTATTTANAAACAGATTAATATCATGAAAATATGAAATGTGGATAATCTTTTACATGGTATTATATAGAAATAAAAACTTTGGTTTCTCAAAATTAAAATGTCACTTATAACTTTTGCGCGTTATAGTGTAATATAATAAAATTATAATATAACAAGTCTTAATAGTACACAGGTACCAATCAGTTTGGATTGCAGTTTATTCATATATTTCCTATTTATGTTACTTTACAAAATATAAAAAAAACATATTATAGTATTCTTTTTTTTTGTGTATAATTATTGAAAATTATCCTCATACTTTTGTACATTTGTTTTTTAGTCAATCGGTTAAAACGAACAAGATATTAAGTAATTTTTATTCCTTAAAATTTATCTCTTATTTTTGTAAAAAATAACATGAACACGCATAAATTTTGATGACATACATTTATATAAATATCAGAATGTAATATTGCACACTAGATAGCGCTCTAAACCTTTTTAGATCAACTAACTGTTTAGAAAGCCATATTTTTTTTTTAGTTAATCACACAGAAAGTTGTTTGTAATCTTTATGGTAAACCAATAATTCAGCTTAAACCTATTATTTTTTCTAATACTTTAATCCCAATTAAAAAAGTGATTGTAAATATTTTACAATATATCCCTCTTTCAGCTAATTTTTCTACCCTTATTTTAAACCAAATATTGCGAGTGATTATAATGGCCATCATCTTACATGCATCTTGCCATCTTCTATTTTTGAAGGAATATTATTCATTAAATAACATAATTTTTTTTTTTTTGTTTTACAACCGTTAGGTTAGTTAATACCAACTAGATAGGTATATCCTGGAGAAATGTATGTGCAGTGGTTTCTCGTTGCCTTCTGCACTGGGAACATGGTGCTTTTTCGACATTGTAGAAGCGCATATATGATCACCCATCCGTTCACCTACGGCTGTAAGCGCGGCTTCACACTAGAGTTTTGTCAACAACTAGTGTGACCACCGCGCCACACCACAACATACAATAACCCAATATAACTAATGTATGCTTAATGCAGGTGTTTCTACCAGAGTTAACCGTTTACTTTTTACCAATACTCTACTGTTGAACTAATTATCTGTTCTCCAAATATTATACTGTCCTCTTATTGGTTTGTTTTGCGTAATCTTCATGGAAGTGTTCACTACCCTATTATAACATGTCTTTTCGTATAATTTATTCATTGTTCAGATAATGTTGATAAAAACTTATTTCCTACAATTCTAATAGTTTTTTGTTCAACTTAAACTCAGACGATTAAACTGATTTTTCTCATTTTTGATACGTGGTTCCAATCATATATACTATTGATAACTCTGTTGATATTTTACTGAAAGCTGCCAAACTCTTCATTCCATCTAAACGTTTTAAATCGTCTCCCCCTTGGTGTAACTCTTTCTGCACAATCGTAGTCAAAACCAGATCCTTTCACTTCCAAAAGTATAAATCTTCGGGTTATTTCTATGACTTTATGTCATTATGAAAAAAAATAAAAAAGGATTAAAACTTATAATCCTTTTTAAAGCTTTTATTTTAAAAGGATTAATGTATGCTCTTAATTACATCATTCCACATCCATCTTTGAGTTTTGGTTCATAGCCAAAAAAAAAAAACACCATCATCCGCCCCTCCTCAGCTACTAATGATGACTGATTTGATAACTTCTGCATTAAGTGGCTCCTCTATACGTTCCTCATCTCATTGAATTTAATTTAAATTTCGCAGCTCATGTGCAGCATAATAATAGTACCAACATCCTTACATCCCCTTTCAGAGGTGTGAACTTTTCCCAAATATCTCCTATAGAAAATCGGCTGTAAACGATTTAGATAGTGTTTTCCTTTAATATTTAAACACATACCTATTAAAGCATTTGATATACTTTTAACTATTTTAAATGATTTATGGCTTAATAACATCATCCCTAAATCCTGGAATCACATTAAGTTCATACCTTTTCCTAAAAGTGTATCAAATCCTGCATATCGTCCTATTGCTATTTCTCCATATATACGCAAATTAACTGAGTTTATTTTAAAAATACTTCTCAACTAGTTCCTTGAATCCAATTCTCTATTACCAAAAAACATGTTTGGCTTTCGACGTGATGTAAGCACTATGGAATGTTTATCTTCTTTAATTGGTCCTGTTTATGATTCGTTCTGTAACCATCTTTTTACTACATTTGCCTTTTTGATGTTCGTGGTGTTTTTGATTCTGTTCATATACCTTTGTTTATCTCACTAATTTTTTCCTATTATGTGTGTGTAAATTTATATTTTCTTTATTCAACTGTCGTCATCTTCATTTTAACTCTCCATTTGGTTCTGTCAGTCATCGAATCACTTATTGAAGATACCATCAAGGTAGTGGACATAACCCGATTCTATTTAATATTTACATTGCCCCCATAAGCAATGTCCTTTCATCATCGAATCACTCTTGTTTATTTTATGTCGATGACAAAATAAAATATTCTTCCTATAAATCACTTGAAATTGTTGCCTCCAACATTAATAAATGATCTCTAAACTCTCTTAATGTCTCTTTAGTTATTTGTTTTTTGAAAAAAGTAAAGTCATTGTTTTCAAAAAAAAATGCATCTTTTAAAACTCTTATATTTATCTTGATAATATTGGTTTATCGTACTCTGATTGTGTAACTTACTTTACATTTCGTTGATGCCACATATTAAACACCTTTATTTCATTTTATTACGTTGTTCTAACCTGTTATATACAATTATGGATACTTAATGGTTCCCACCCCTTGTTCATTCGTCTTGTACTTAAGTGTCCCTTTACTATCTTAAGTGGATTATGGATCATTTCTATATTCCTCTGCGTCCATCGTACATAATAATAAACTTAATTCCCTACTGACTTATTGTCTACGTACAATTTTAGGTGCAGTTATTTCCACTCCAGATGGAAGTTTGGAGGTGGAATGTTTTTTATCCCCCCCCCCCAAGATTGATCTCGATATCAATTATTTTTGCAAATTTCTCACTAAACAGTTATTTTATTTAGTCAACTCATTATTCCATTGTTTTTATCTTTATGCTCAATTTGGCGCTAATTCCTCAAGATTCTTCCTCTACTTGCTTCAGTTTCTTCGACTTAAACCTCGTATTTTAATTTTATTATCACTTCTTTTAATTGCTTGCCTATTTATGACGTGTTTCATTCCAGACACTAATTTATTGCCTACCTATTAATTTTAAGCATCAATTTCTTTTTTATCTAAAGCCATAATTAAAATATTTCTCAATTAATTTTTTCAATAATGTATTCAATGAGCATATATCCTCTAAATTTTTCAATTATTGTCTTATATTTACTGATGGTTCAGTCTGTTCAAATTCCACCGACTTCAATTTTTTTCCTAGTCTCAATATTAAGTTCTCAGATATTCTCCCTCCATAATCTTGTTCTTTTACTTATTGAGTGATATGTCATCTCATTGGTTTTTGAGTTTATTCAATTCTTCAATCTTTCTAATATATGAATAGTATCTGACTTATTGTCAGTTCTTTCTTTTCTTTCTACTAATCCGTTCAAAAAACATAGATTTTTCCTCATTATTAACATAAAAGCGTTAATTTATAATCTTTTCTTAGCTAATACTAATATTAAATTTGTATGGTGTCCAAGTCACGTATATAATTTTAGTAACGAGAAGGCTGATCATTTAGCCATACTTATTAATTTCATTATTCGTCCTCCAACCCTCAAGATTCCTTCACCCAACCTCCTTTTATTACTTCATAAGACTATATCTCAAGAATGGCAAGAATATTGGTCTTCTTCTCTCTCCCTCATAGCAGCCTGACAAAAATCAATTTCACCAACTATTTTATTCATGCAGCTGGTTTACCTAATAACCAACAATGTGTCTAATCTATTATATTATTAAGTTTTTTCATGTATATAGTCTTAACTTATTAATAACGGAATTGCACTATTCTTTAATTGTTAATTCCTATCATTAATTGTTAAGGTATATTAATACTTTGTATTGAAAGCTGTAAAAAAAAAAACTATTAATTTAACTAGTGAACTTTTAAATTTAAATAACGTATAAAATTTTAGTATACTACAAATACGTTTAAATGATATTTATCTAATATAAAAAAGTTGTTTAGAATTTACTAAACGCTAATTATATTATTTTAAGATGAACAATAAATACAGATATTCACACAAAAAGTGTATGTGGTTTATTAAATCATTTTACAAGTCATAACAACTAAATAAAAATGACTAATATAAACTCTTTATACATTTCTTAATTGAACATATAGAAATCAATGTTTCATTTAAATTTTACTTTAACATAATTTACTTTAGAACCCAATATATTTTGTGATTGATTACATTTTTGTGAGACAATATTTTTGAATTGTGTAGCACTCAATTGTATGTTAATGTTAATACAGAATAGATAAAATGTGTTTTTTCTTAATCAACCAACTTTTTATTGGTAAACCTTATTATTATTTTTTTGTAATAAATTCCTCAACTTGTTCAATAGAAAGTTGTAAGCTAATCTCATAAAAAACTAGCCTAACTTAACATAAACCTCAAGGCAAAACCGGAGCACCATGGANATTCAATAGAAAGTTGTAAGCTTATCTCATAAAAAACTAGCCTAACTTAACATAAACCTCAAGGCAAAACCGGAGCACCATGGATTCTGTACCCTATCTTAGGGCGTTCTAAAAGGTTCTATGATTAATAGTTTTGAATTAATATACTTATAATTAAAATGTATTCAATATTATAATTTAAAGTTGTATTTTATTAAAGTTTATAATAAAAAAAAAAAAAAAAATTTATTACTCATATATTAAATAGAATATTTTGGCCGGCCCAAGTAGTTGGGATTAAGGCGAGGAAGAAGAAGAAGATATTAAATAGAATATTTGATGAGAATTAAAAAAATGGTATTGTTAAGATTAATATGCAGTAGGGAAATTTTATAATTTCTATTGACAATAAATTTATCAGAAAAGCTTAATATTTTTTTTGCATTATTATTGTAATATATCACATAGATAGATATCATAGTTATCATTTATTATTAACTTATTATGTATAATAATATTCTACAATTGAAATATTCAGAACTTAATTAATTTTAATTAATTACATTAACTAAAAGAACCCAAAAATTAAGTAAAAAATTTACTCAATTGAGTGCATTATAAAATTTGATTACAATAGTAAAAAATTATTGTTAAATTCAAGTGAAACTAAAAATAATTTTTTAGAAATGATTTATATAGCAACATGTTACCAAAAAAAATTGGAATATTATAGACAAGTAGAAGCACACAGAAACAGAGTTAAAAAATTAATAAGTTACAAAGTACAATTATTTATTTTGTAGCTGAATACTACTATCATATTAAATCTACTACGACAACAAATACTTTAAAAATATTAGAAATAAATGATTTTAATTGTCTGTATGGAGAAAGGTGGTTAAGCAACTCTTTGTTTAATAAAAGGAATTTTTAAGGATAATATCTTCAATTAAATACGAATTGTAGTTATATGACGTATCGTTAAAAAAGTGAGGGCTGGGGAAATTAAACGCAGCCACAAAAGAAAAACACATAGTAAAATAATATTAACATGAATAAAAAATTTCTTCTCACGAGGAGAGAGTACAGTGATGAAGTTTTGAATCTAAATGAAATAAAAATCAAATAAGTTGGACATTTTTTTCTAATTCAAAAATAATTCATTTTAAAGTTACTTTTTTGACTTAACAAAAGCAAAAAAAATTTAAATAAGTTTAACTTTATATTTTATATCTATTAGATTTTTATAATATTTATGAAAATCAGTATACTCTCTTTGTAAAGTATATTAAAATGAATTAAAATACAATATCAAGAACTTTAACACAAAAATAGCTTATTTTTGAATAAGGTAGCCTTTTTCACTATAAAGACGATCTTTATCTCGAAATTTTTTTTTCGTTGTAAAGCATATTACATAAGTTTAAGATATAAATAAAAGTGTTAATATTTTCAGAAAATTTTCAAAAATTTAGTTGAATAAGTTTATCTTATGTGCAAAAATTGCTTTTTTGAATCACCCCATGGGCTATCCAAGTGTCAGATTTTAAAAAATTCATATAAAATGAAAGGAATATATCTAACGTTTCAATATAAAAAAAAATGATTTTCAATTGTTCATTTTTCAAAAAGTTATGGCAGTTTTAAGTATCAATATATTAACACGTTAAACGGTATAGTTGTGATAGGTCCCATACATAAAATACAAAACACAATCAACACTTCTATTCTGATTATAACATTATATTGTATGATTTCTTTCTCATGTCAATTTTGTATCGCTCTTTTTCTATCACTATTTTATATGATTATAATAATAAACTTATTAAAGAAATTTTATACAAATTAATGATCATAAGAGTTTGTATATTTTTTATCATTCCACAAGTAAAATTTGCACTACTAAAGGATCACATAATTCAGGTAAGATTATTCCAATTTAATGTGCATGTCATTACAAGCAATAACTGATCCTTAAACCACATTGCCCCGATAGAGTCTCGAAAAGCATTCACCACAAAGTTTAATACCACATATGATTTCTATTACACTTTTACTCTTTATTATTTTAAATTACGACAGTAATTTTTACATAAAAATGACATTTTTCGTTAAATTTGTTGGTCATATACTCATAGAAGACAAGGGGTCAGGACAATTTTTTTTTTTAACTTATAGTATTTATCATAACATATATGTTAAATTAAATTAAACATATATTTAAAACTCGTAGTATTTTCAAAACATTTTCAAAGTTAAGTTGAAAAAGTTATACTTTTTGCTCAAATTTTTATAGTTTTTAACCCCTCCCCTGCCTGTATAAAGGAAAATGATCCGATTTAAAAAAAAAGTATGACGGTAAAAGGAGTCTATATGAAGTATTTATAAAAAAAAAATGTATTGATGGATACACTTTTCAAAAAGTTATAGCAATTGAATATTGAAAATTTAAAATATGAAATCGAAAATTTTAATACCATAATTCGGTTTGGTGAGAGTTCTTAGCTCTGTTCTTAATTTGATTATGATTCCATTTCCGTTTTGTTTAGCCGTGCATATGTCAGACTTCTATTCATATTTGTTCATGGTTTCCTGAAATGATTCATAAATTTGAATAATGATACACCATGACATGAAATTTCGTTAATTAATGTTGGAGATGTGTTGTCCATGCAACTATAACCTGTCACGCCTTGTTTATCACTGATGTTCCTTGATAATACTGAATTTGTGGTGACATCGTAAACGAACCGGTGGGTTTCAGCCGATAATGTGTATATGTTATGGACGCATGTTGTGTATACAAAATTATAGAGTCGCTTATACAATACAAGTGTACAGTTACAACTTAACAATAAAGTTAAATTTAATTTTAATTTTAGTTACCTTTAACTAAATATAGAAAAATTTACATGAGTTAGCTTTTAACTTTTAAAATGTAATACTTTTAAAATTAACTTTAACAAATTAAAAAAGCGTTAACTTTCCAATCTTTAAAAACGTTAATGATAATATATTCATTGTAAAATTATTTAACAAAAATATTTTTTGTTAAATTTTTTAGAAGTAAAATTGAAAACTACGATTTATTGAATATTTCAACTTTGGCTGCCAAATTGATAAAAAAAAGTTTATAGGCTTGCAATATTGATAGTATTGACCTATTGATTTTTTTTGTTTCGTTAAATATAAAAAATGGCTGATTGCCAGTAAACTTCATGAAATTATTATCATTTTCTGTTGAATTCTCCAGCTTTTAAGGTCTCCCGATTATCTCCTTCCAAATGTACAGTGGTTTCGAAAGCTACGTTATGTGTATATATATACATACATAAATTGCATTCTATACATTTTAAACTTGCCATTGATGTAGCCGATCACATATCCCATATCATTCTAGTGTGGTTTTGCTGGTTGAATACTCACTGCTAGTCGATAAATAAACTTGTCACTTTTAGGTCTTCGTGTAGGTAATAATATAGTTATGGGAAAGCTAGAAATAAATTTTTATAAATTCACGAGAAAATACTTTTGTATGAAAGTGTCAATATATTACTTGGAATAGTTGTGGGATTTTGCGTCGATGTTGGGAACTCGATTTACGTCGTCTATCGCAAAATTTGTCTCAGTGCTTACAATTTATTGTTATTTTCTAATAAATGAACTTTAATTTTCTAAACTCAGTGGAATCTACCAAATGTTATTCATCAACGAACCCTTTATATTTCTGTATTCCTTTAGAGATAAAAACGTATTATTTTAAGACTACTACAAAAGCATCTCATTTAGTATTGTAAACAAAACTATACAAAAAAGCTACGGTAAATGCAGTATAATATCTAGAACTGATAATTATATTTTTAGTAAAGTTGAGCGGAATCCGGAAAACGTGAAAATTCTACGCTTTCAACAGATGGCGCAAAAAGCCGCCAACAAAGTGTGTTTTAACGTCCTAGGTCATCACTCAGTAACGTTTGTACGCCGGTACTAGTCGCGTGCCCTCGCCGTCGTTCGTGTCCCTTCCGCATTGGCGAGTTTGCACGTAAAATAGTTATAAATTAAAAAAAAATAGATCCCCTTTAATTTGATTTTAACAGGTCATTTTTCCATAAATCTCCAACAACATTCTCTCTCTCTTTCTCTGTAGATACTGGTGCTTAGAAATCAAAATTATGATAAATTTCACTTCATTTCTTTGAAAGTAAGTACCTATGTAAATAGTTTAGCTTATATAACAAATAAAATTTACATATGATTGTGTAACAAATTCTGTTATACCCCATTCTCACTTAATTATTTTCTTAAATTATCGCTTTTTTTGNATATAACAAATAAAATTTACATATGATTGTGTAACAAATTCTGTTATACCCCATTCTCACTTAATTATTTTCTTAAATTATCGGTTTTTCTGACATAGTCAGAAGTATAATATTTACCAAGTTTCTTCAGAAAGTGTCATCGTTGATTTGATAAAGTAAGATAATTATATTCAAACAAACATTTCTTGAATATCTTTAAAAAGCGAAAGTAATCGACGTAGGTGTCCGTAGGTGACTTTTAATACAAAATGGCAGAAAAATTGTTAGACGCATTTACGAGTAAGATAACAATTACTCAGGAATTTGGAATAGTTTATCTGGATTTCACAATAGAAAGCCCTTCTACTGTAATGTTTACATTACACTACTAGACTACTAAATGATTATAGTGACGTACTCTTTATAAGAAATACAAAGTAAATACAAATCATTAGAGGAGAAATTGATCGTTTTTATTTCAATCTCTTTTTTTTTTTATAAAAACTTTTTTTATTTACTAATGGTAACTAAGGTATGCTTTAATTTGTGATGGTAACAAAACCATTAATTTGAAGTAGTTTTATTTATCCATAGTTCCTCCTCAAAAAGTTATTTATTGTGGTTTATTTTCAGTATTAAATAATAATTGTATGCACAAGATGATTCTTTTAACGCCAAATGCTCTCGATTTATCTTAAAACAATAATTTTGGTATTTATTAATTAAATATGTTTCTTGATTTATCAGTTATGAATTATTTTTCTAATTCATTCTTTTATATATTATAAGAGTATAAAATTAATTATTTTAATTGGCATCATACAAATTTATCTAGCACATAAAATAAAAATTATCTAATTAAGAATATAACAAGTCTAAATTAACTTTTGACCCATTATTTTGATAGTTATTACCATTTTAAATTACAGATTGAAGGCGAGCGTAGGTATGATAATATTTATCATTAGACATTTTTCGGATGCATCTCTTTTCCCGTTTCCTCCCTATTTAAATTGAATAGACAATCATTATCATTTTTTTTTTTTTTGTAATAATAAATGTTTTAATGTTACCATATTAAAATATAGACATAAGATGAGGTATGAAGATGACAATATTTATCATTAAACAATTTTCAGATGCCACTTACTCGTTTGTTGATCTAGTTTGAATCTCACTTTTAATATTTTACCTGTGTCAAATTATAATATGATAGTTAAAACTAATTTCTTGTGTTATCATATTCATATTAATAATTATCTTTTTAATATAAAATATTATATTTTTCGAAAAATTCATACTATTTTTATGATTAATAAATCTATTTTATAAATAATGAACTTGAAATTCATTTTAATAACTATGAAGTTTATATTAGGACATATGTATAACCGGAAATCATATATAGTCAGCAAATTACTACTGACAAATCTAGTGGAAAACTATTGTATTATAATTACCAACGTCATAATCACCTAGCTGTTTTCCCGTTCGAATAGAACATAGAATAGGGCTCAACTATAATTAACTAAGTCCTTTAAAATTAACTTTACCCGTAATAGTTCTATTGTTTCTAATTCCGTGTGAAATAAAATAGAAATAATGCAACATTGAAATACGCTATTTAGTTTATTATAAAAATTAAATTATCTAAGGTTCTTTTACTAGACGGATGCCTTATCATAATCTTGTTACTACTATGTATTGACCATTGATTTTTATTGTTTTTTTTTTATTAACATTTTTAAAATTCTTATAATAATAATAATTAATTATTTAAATGGCAATACATTAAAGATTTAAATAACAAAACTAAAAATACTTTTAAAATGTTTTTTTATGAAATAATTAATTTTACGTTTTAAAGCAAATCAAAAATGAACGTTTAATAAATTAACTTTTGAATTAACAATCGAAGGAGAAAATTAACAAATAATGAGCACATAGTTTTCAAATTGCATTAATTTTTAAAAAGCTACTAGATATCAGGACGGATCACTATTTCAAAGTAACGGATATAGAATGATGGTTATTATAGTTAGGTGTTTAATTTTTAAATAACTTGTTCGCTTTAGTCTTAAAAAAACGGATTCTAAATATAGTATATAGTTTTGCGCTTAGTTTTAGTTTTACGTTTTATAACACTAATCTATATATATTATTATTTAATGCTTTATTTCTAATTTTATTCTTATTTTTCTCATCATTATTATTAGTATTTTTACTATTATGTTAATTTATGTCAACTGTCATATGCAAAATAAAAAAATAAAACATTTAAAATTTTATTCATATTATTACCTTTACTTTAAAGAATAGGTAAATATATAATTATTATCTTATTACGAATGTATTAATATTTTTTCTAGATGAACCATTTTTAATATTATTTTCTTTTATCAATAAACTGTTCAAATTAAAACAAAACAATTAAGTTTTATTAAAAGTCGGACTACAACCCTAGTAACAATTTTTTTTAATTTTATTATTTTATTGATTTTATAACGTTATTATAACATTAATTTTTTAAATTTCTATCATCTACAGATGATGTTTTTTTTTGTTTTAACTATTATAAAGTATTTTGGTCTGATTTAATATATATATAAATAAATAAATTAAATCATACTATTTTTGTTAGTCATCGATGTATAAAAAAAAATACTTTATTTTTAATGAATTAGTTGGTACTTTGTTTTAAATGTACCCGTATTGACAACTCTATAGGCCAATGAACCATATTACTTTAATTTTTAAGTTTATTCTCATTCATAAAATTTAGAAAATTCAATACTTATAATTTTACAAATACAAATAACTACCATAAAATTGAATTTTTTAAAAACCCGACTAAAATTTTTTAATGAAAAAACCATTTCAAATGTAATCTTCTGTTCATTCATATAATATATAATAACTTCTTCAATAATTTTATAATGCCTTGATATCTATCAGTTAATATACATGTTTTATTTTAAATAATTCATTTTTTTATATATATTTTTATATTAAGCTCTATTGTATAAAATGTATATTTTTGTTATGACTATTAAGTGGAACATATAGTTTTGAATTAATAATTTTTAAATATATAAGGAAACTAACAAACAAGAATATGGCGAAATAATCATATAAAATAATACTTAGTATCAACTACAAATATTCGATTCAAATTTCTATGAATCTTATTAAATTTAAAAATATTATACTTACTAAGTATATAAAAACAAATAAATTAAATGATTAAATTTTATTAGAACATCAAATATGCTAAATTTTATGTTGTATTGTAATGATAAATCATACAAGTTGAAATATAATACATTTTTGTTGAATTATATTATTTTTATAATTCATCGGAAGAAAAATATAATAAAATAGATCTAGAAATTGCTTTCCAATTTTTTAAACTACTAAATGTAGTCATTGGCTATAGATTTAGTAAACCGACACTTAAATGCATTGTTATTATAAAATAATAAAAATATTTAAACAATTTACATTAAATTAATAATACAATTAACATACAATTAAAATTTATCAACATCTGTACAACCATAGAAAACAATAATATCTATACTACATAGAAAACATAAAAAAATAATTTTTACCTTATGCATGACAAAAAACATATTATTATTTGGATTGAGTTAGAGGTTATGTTAACTCGTTCATAAAACACAATGATAATGTTAAACTTTAGTATAGATAATTTTTTTTGTGTTCATCAGCTCAGAATAAAAAAGGTTTTCATCTGGGAAAAACCTTTTTTCAATATCATCTAGTTTAAAAAATCAATGTGGATAATTAGTTTATTTCAGTGAAATAAGCCACATAAATCGTACAGATTTCTGTAACTACATTATGATAAGTAACATACTATTAATTATTTTTGTAAAATAGTGATTTGTGTTGCCATGGAATATTATCTAAATGTAATTTTTGACAAATCTGTTATTATTTATATTTTTTTGGAAAATAATTTGCGTATAAGATCATTTTCATTAAAATTGCTTCTGTAAAATGTGAAATAACGTTTTAGGTAATTAAATATTGTAACTTGTTAGTTTGATATTTTAAAAATTTTTACTAAATAAAAACTTTAATATAAAATTTGATTGTTTTTTATAAATTAAGAAAAATTAATTGAATTGGTATAAAAATTAGATAGTGGCAAAAAAAAACTTTTTGAATGTCAAACTTAAGTAGACAAATTTTTGAACCGAACTTCATACATAATACATCGACTTGATTGTCGAACCAAAAACTTTTTGGTTTAAATTTCTGTTTAGTTTGTGTTAGGAAATGTTTTAAAGTTTCAGTTCATTCCAATACCACTTCAAAAATTAGAGTTCGTCACACCCTTAGTGTAAATATAATTCAACTTTTATCTATCAAGTAAAACCTTTCCTCTACTAAGTAAGAACGGTTAACTTTAGGAAAAGTTGATATATTATCAATAAATTCTAAATTCAATTTCACTTATGTTATTATTTTTTTAAAAAGCACTTTTATGTCTTTAAGACTAAGTACTTAAAATTTTGTATAGACACTTAAACATATAATTTTCTAGTTACATAAAATTATTTTAATTGTAAACATATTACATAAAACCTATTATAATAATTTAAGTTGATATGTTGAAATTGAACTCAATTATTATTTTATATTAAGAATTTTTAACTTGAATAAAAAAAATTACGTTTGAAATTTTTGACGGAGATCAAGTGAATTTGTATAATTGAATGCTTACTGTATATATTATAGGGATAACCATATGCAACTACAGCTTTTTAGTTTTTGTAAATATTATAGCAATTATGTTCTCATAAAGTATTTTTCAAGTAAATAATAGTGTACTCATAAATTTGTCATAAAAATAATTTTATCAAATATTTTTCTAAATTTTTTACCTGGTTTTATACAAGATTTAATATCATGGTTTTTGGAACAAACGAAAAACTTCCAAGAAGAATTTTATTTTCTTCTCGTAAAACAATATTCCACCTACAAACCCAAATGGCTAAATGAAAAATATAGTACACACAAAGTGGTAATACCACTATCCTTATATTAAAATTTTATTACGTATTCAATTCATAAACACTAAGTGCAAAAGTAAAGCTATGTATTTTTTGAGCATTACTAAAACGTATCGAAATTATTAATAATAAGTATTCATTTTTCTATTAAATGTTCGAAAATGNAAGCTATGTATTTTTTGAGCATTACTAAAACGTATCGAAATTATTAATAATAAGTATTCATTTTTCTATTAAATGTTCGAAAACGGTGTATTATATGGAAAGTATTACATGTTAATAATTTTTTTTTAATACGGTTACTATTTCTTTTTGAAGTTTGATATTATAGATTTTCTGCAACGAGATCATTTTTTTTTATTAAAAACATTATGTGCTCTTGATATATAAAAGTTTTAGACTCCAAATTCATATACATATTAAGTTAAGTGAAAATTGCGGTATACTATACAAGTGTCATACATTTGATTAAAAACCTTATCAATTTAAAATTTGGTTTGGTAAAGTAATGAAACATATGATAATGATTATGATCAACTAAAATTAAAAATTTATATTATTTATATTAGAAGAAATGTCATTTAATTACCAATTATTTAAAGTTAAATACTATGAATGAAATGTCGTTTTTGTTATATGTTTGATTTTTCATAATTTTGTTTTTTATATCTATTTTAAAAATTAATTGTAATAATGTAAAAGTCTTTGCTGTTTTTTACTTGTAGTTTAAGGGGCGTTGTTTTAAAATATTTAGAAATATATTTACAGAAAATGATTTATTTACAAAATTTTAAATACTATTTGTTTAATAGCTGACAAAAGAGTTTTCTATTTATAATCCTCACATAGAATAAAACATAGTGAATAAAACACACTCATGTTATTAGTGAGTTAAAAATGAATTCAAAGAAGACTGACATTATAAGAATAATTAAAATTTCAATTACCAGATGAATATTTATCAATAGCAAAGGTAGTATAAACTCTTAGTAATCTTTTGAGTAGTTTTACTTATCTGAATCTATCTATTTATTTTGTGTAAAATGTTCAAAATGGTTTAGTACGATTGCCTGTTAAGCATACCTTATACTATTCTGACGCTTCCACTTTATCTGTTCTAATGATACTGAGAACATATTTATTG